GGGCTGGGGCTGGGGCTGGGCTGTGGCTGGGGGTTGTGGGCTGGGGCTGGTCTGGCTGGCTGGGCTGTGGGCTTTTTGGGGCCTGGGGCTGGGGCTGGGGCTACCCTGAAGCGGAAATTGGTTTGTTTGAAGATGGAAAGGTTGTGTCCAAATCAAAAAACGAGCTTCCGGATGGCCAACAGCAACAAGCAATTTCTATTTATTTCTTTCTTGAGGGCTTATGGGTGCCAACAAGTTTTCACCGAAAGTGTTTCTTTTGGAACCACGTTTTGAATCTGGCGCCTGGGCTGGCTGCTGGGCAGGGGCTGGGCTGGTGTGGGTTGAGGTTTATGGGAATTGGTGGGCTGCGGGCTTGGCTGGGCTGGGCTGGGTGGGTTGGCTGAAGGCTTGGGACTAAGGGATAGCTGCATGGAGCCCGGATCAGTGGTATCGCCAGGGGGTCAGGGGGTGGCTGGGGCGGGACTCGCCGTCGTAACCGGGATGTGCGGCCCAACTTGCTCTCAGTTCCCACTTGCTCGCAATCCACACGAGCCGCTCGCCGCAGTTCCTGGAGTCGATCGCCTCTTGTGAGGACAACGAGCGAAGCGTCCATTATCATGGTGGACACTAGGGTTGAGGGAATCGTCTCGCTTTCAGGCATCAACGGTCTCACGAGAGAGATCAAGTGATGTCACCGTCGTCAGGCTATCACCTGTCTCTTTTTGCGAATTCCACGTGCGATGGGATCAGGGCAACCCTGGCGACATCGTGTCGCAGATTGGGACACCTTGTTGAGGATGGGATCCGAAGGCTTTGAGCCACATGGCTTTTCAGCCCTCTCGTGGCTGCTCCTCCTGGCACGGCCCCTTGCTACGCGGACGTGAAGATCTGCAATGGAAACAATTCGATCTTACTTTTTCCATTGGATCTTCCGTGTGTTCCAGGCAGATACGGACGTATCAGTCCAGCAGCAGTTCGCTGATGAGTTTTTCATTCGTGGAGTTCGCCATGGACGAGTTCGCAGCTCGGTCGTGGTCGCGCCTTTTCTGGGTGTTCTGGTTCAAGTGCGGGAGCAGCACTTACGCAACTGGTCCTGGTGGTGCGGTGGCCGCGCGAGACGGTGCGTACTCGCGCTTTGAGCTGCGTGTGGCCGGAGAGTTGCTCGGGTTCGAGACCGAGAGTGGTCGGTCCCGGGAAGGCTGCATCGGTCTCTCGTTCGAGCGTTTCGCTGCCGATGACTTCGTTCGGGAGGTCGTTGGTGGTGTTCGGGGTGGGGATGGCTCTCTCTTCTCTTCGTTCGCATCATTGTCGCTCTGGTGCTCTAGGCTGCTGAGCAATGCAAGCGGAGTGCGGGTAGGTAGGGGTTGGTTAGGTTTGTTTTGTCCAGAGGCAGTTGGATTGGCCATCCGGGATGGACACACAGTATGTGAGCGCACAAGACTAGTCACTAGCTTCACTGGTGCTTACCTTGTTGACACAGTGTACTGGTTTTGCTGTCTAAGTGAAGTGCAGGTCCTTGCTGAGAGAAGATGGATGCGCCAAGAAGTCCCAGTTCCCCCACCACGGAGCGGCTAGCACTTGCTGGGACAGCTCAGCTCGACTCCAGATTGTTGACCTTCCGCTTCTATGCAGGACCGTTTTGTCATGGTCGGTGCCATCTGCAAACCTCGATGGAAGACCAAGGCCCGTGGCTGTCATGCTGCATCCACTGCCATCGAAGTCATGACCGAAGAGTGCAATTGCTCCTCCGAGGATCGAGGTCCCATGGGGTGATGTTCGCTTGATGAACAGCGACGGATCTGCTGAGCCCGGATCTTGCTTGCGCCGCTGGAGCTGCAGGGGGACATGCCGCGACACCAAGGACTGACAGAGGCAGACCGCCCAGTCGAGGTCAAGCGCTTACCGCTCACCCATTCCGAGGCTTTTTTTGTCCTACGGTCGCTTTGAACACCAAGGAGGTGAATCCTGGCAGCCGCTAGGACAAACAACTCCGCCAGCGTACGAGCAGGCATCGATAGAGAGACTGCCATATCGTGTGTGTGTGTGTGTACGGCATTTAGGTGACGCCCGAGTTGTTCGAATTGTGGCAGACGCAGGACTTTGCATGACTTTGTCTGCTTGAGACTGAGACTAAGACCTAAATCCGAAGTGAGGGACCCAACCAGCCGCCTGCAGATCATGAGTCTGACGAGCAGGAGGCCATCTGCTGCAATGCTTATCGTTTCAAGCAGTCTTGTTTCTTGAGCACGCCTCTGGAACCAGTGCGGTTGCTGTGTAGCTGGGGGGCCCAGCCAGAGATCGATCGCTACAGTTTAACCGTGCAGCGCTGGATTGAATCGACCCAGACCAGAATCTGCTTTGAGAGAGCCCCAACCCAGGGCGCGATCAAGTTGCCGTACGGCTTCTCAAAACAAACAAGCTGCGGACTTCTTAAGCAAGGCCACATGCGGATAGAGGTGATCGAGAACACGGACGTGAAAAGAAGTTCAGACGGGCCCTATGTCAGTTCTGTGTGAGAAGGATGCTCAGGATGCGCGGGAGGTGGCGGCCAGAAGTGGTAGTGTAGTGCTGGCCAGTCCAACAACGCCACGCCAATCTGCAATGCTGCCAAGCACCGAAGAGCTTCCCCTGCAATGCCCGTTCCGTGACTGCAGAATCCAGTGTTTTGACAAAGCCAAGCTCGCAACGCCATGACAAGAGCTGCGTGAGGCCAGCGAAGCCGCGGACTCTGCCAGTGTAGAGGACTCCCACGCTTCACGCACTTCACGCCCAGAGGCCGCTGAAGCTGCTGAGTGTGCGAGTTCCGTGCCGAGCGGCAAGTCAGGTTAGCCACAGCAGCCGACAGGACACAGGACCGATGCAGCTACTATTGCCCTCAGCAAGATTGCAAGAGAGTGTTTTGGCAGTGTCCGCAGGACCTGGCCACCAGATTGCGGATGCCATCGATGATCACGAACTGGAGCTCGTTGATGGCAGGCGCGTACCCGTCGTACCCGTGCCCTGGTCCCTTGGTCCGACCCTGGACCAGCCCCAGGCCGCCTGGCCCTCAAGGAGAGCCTGGGTCTGAGCCGGAGTTGCGCTGAATGCCCTTGGGCCCTTGTGGCTTTTGCTACTTTAGGGAGTGTCATTCTGTCTCAGGTTGTCCCGCTCAGAGCCCGAAAGCATTGCGGTCGACCGCTCAACTCAAGCTGGCAACTCAGGTATAAAGTCGTTGCGTCCGAGTAGTCCTTTCACAGTATCTTCAGGAAGCAGTCGCGGAAACGGCTGGAGGCAAGCCACATCTGTCGAACATCCACATGTCGAAACTGAGCCAACAGATGGATGTTCCAGTTCTTGCAGGCCAGGATGTTGCGGCTGAGGCGGACCATGCAGGACTTCAGGGGAAAGTGATTTGAGTGAGGCCACGCCCTTCATTGTGTCCGCAGGATCCGGAGAGTCCGTGGAAGCCGTTGAGGTGCAGGGTTGGTTCGCAGATCGCATGCAGACCGAATGTGTTCATTTTCTGATAGGCAGAGGCAGCTTCCACCAGCGACTCGACCTCAAGCTGTCAGATAGAAGAGATCGAGGCCTGCTCATGGGGTCTGTATGGTCTGTTGACCGCAAGACCTTGGCCGTCCAGTTCTTTGCAGGTGAAGGACACGGAAGGCTTTCAGGTGGACGAGTGGGTCTGTGAGGCGAAGGCTCGGCCCTGTACACAGCTTTGTTTGTGCCTCAGAAGGCGCGTTACTTCGCATGGCAGGCCACAGCCCGTTCTGAGGAGCGGCCCTGAATGTCTGTGCTACTTCCGATCTCCCGTCCGTGTCCATGGGCATGAGTGGCAGGTCGACGAGCTGCCTGAGTCTGCAGTCGAAGCGAGCACACAGGACTCGGTAGGAAAGCATCTTCAAGCCTGAAGATGTACCTGCCGTGCAGAGCACTTCGCAGGATGGACAGGGATCTGGCTTGCGACCAGGCCCTTGCCCCCGGTGCACACTTTCAGCCTGCAGCCATCTGCCTTCCTTGGGGATGCTTTCTCGCGTAGCGTGCATGTTCAAGGTCTTCCAGTGAGTGATGGGACTGTGCTGCCCCCTGCTGTCACCGGACGGTTTTCTGAACATCACCTGATTGAAGTGTTGATGTGATCACTCAGGCGCACGAGAAAGTCACAGACGAGGTGGTTTCAGTAATCATGGACGAACTGATCAATGACACCATTCAGCATCTCTTCCGCAGCTTTATATCAAGAGCACTACTTTCCTTATGACAGCCCAGCAAATTCTCCTAACAATATCTCTTCGAGTTTCTTTAGCTTTAGCTTTGCTCGTTGTTGTTTTCCTTTCTCTTCCAGTACTTGCTCTCGCTCTTGTCCCTCCCTCCCTGGCTCGGGTTTGTTCAGAAGCAGCCCTTTGTGTTCATAAGTAGGGATTGGAGATAGAACCCTTTACTCAACCAGCTGCGATGAAAGGGTGTGAGAGCCATGGACTCGTGGTATGGCCAGGGGAGGGGCCAGAGAGTGAGGAAGGGTCTCGGCTACCAAGGGACGCACGAGCGACCCATGCACCAAGCATGCAGAGAACCCACTTACTAACTAGCAAATTGGACCTTGCGTGGAAGCAGTTCAGTCTGCCAGGCAGGCTGTACTGTTTCCTCCATAGATGCTGAGAAGCCAGCAGCGTTATCTTTCAACCTCCCAATTAAAGAGCACTACGGAAAGCACGTCATGAAGAGAGACCGGGCGACGGCTCCATCACTATGAGCCCCTCCAATGTCCCAAGCATGCAAACCAGTTACACTCCACGGAAAGTGGAGAGGGGGTGTGGGGCAAGGAGCAGGAGATAGGAGGAGCAGGGCAGAAGGATTTTTATTCGCCAATCCAAAACCGTGTTCGGGGCTACGGTGGGTTTACAGCGTGGTCGCGATGGCTGGGTGCACACCAACTTATCGCAAACTTGCGGAGGCAAAAATAAGCACGGGACTGTGCAGGAACACACCTCCCGCAAAGCATCCCACGCACACTATTGAAATTTACAATGAATCAGATGATGCTGCTAGAACCTTTCGAGGCAATCCACCTTGAAACTCATTTCGGGTACAAAGCAACCCGCTCCAAGCTCCCGGGAGCAGAAACGGGCACGCGATGATGCTGCTGATGCGCCTGGCCTCCGATTCTCTGGGCCACTCGGCAGCGAGCGCTAGGGGCCAGCTTGCGCTTGCACGCCGTCACGACGAGAGGCCCTGAGGCCCTCAACGGCCNNNCAACCCACTCCCGCCGCTCCCGCCGCTCCCGCTGCTCCCGCCGCTCCTGCCGCTCCCGCTCTCCCTCGCTTCTTCACGAGGGTTCGGACTCTTGCCTGCAGTGACTCCACACATTCACCTTCCCCGTGTGCACGCTGTGGCCCTGTTGTCGGCAACACTGAGAAGACCATGCAAAGAGAAGACAAGGATTCGTTGCCATGTTGCTGCGGAGATTGTTACCACGTGCGTGTGAGGTCTTCAGCTGCTACTGAACCAGCTCTACGACATCCGACGCCGATAGCTCCAGCGTTTATCGACATCTTCAGCGAGGAACGGGAACTTTCTCAGAATGCAGGCTTCCTGTATGCTGACGGCAGGATTCTGCTCCTGACGGCTCCAGCGCCGAGAGCGAGAGTGTCGTCCAGCCCTCTCCCAGGAGGCAAAGCGGGTTTTGCGAGGCTCCGGAAACACAAACAGACTGGAAAGTTTCCAAGGCCGCTGCAAAAGAACGAGGAATTGGGCAGGGAGGCTGTGAAAGGAAGCGCCTCCCTTACAGTGAGTTGAGTGACTTCTCTCTCTGCCTGGCTTGGCTTAGCTCGAGTTCCGTGAAGCATGGAGTCCTCAGCTCCAGCAAGTCCCCACTGAGGCCCGCTCCCTCGAAAGATGCCGGCAAAGGCCGAAGAAATCCGCCTGGCAGCAGGCCTGTCATTTGGGCAGGAAGCACACTCAAGCGATCTCAAGCGCTTTGCGCTTTGCTCTTCAATCCGAGTTTGGCGCACCGGCTTCAAAGCTCCGTGGTGCAGGCCTTCGGACAGAGAAAAAGGCTTCAACAGAGGATGGGCGAAGTGCTCAGCTTCGGATGAAGACGACGAGGTGATGTTGGGCAATCGAAGCCCGTCCCAGGCCTCCGCGGCCGCCCTCCCCGCCTCCTGACCTGCGCGACGGCCTGAACTTGGGCCGATTTGGAGAGCACGGGCTGTTGTGCAACTGCACCGCAAGTTTGTATTGCCCAGGTAGTACCGACACGGAACCAGCAAGCACCGCACCGCACTGGCCCCAGAGACTGCAATCTCGCTGTCAAGCGATCCATGGCGCCGGCCGGAGGCAAGCCGACAGAAGCCCAAAAGGCATCTATGTCAAATTGCGCCGAAGCGCAGCGCTTCGGCTGTTCCTGAAAATCCCGGACAGTGTGACAGGACGACAAGACACCGCTGAGCTCATCAGCCAGGCGAGCCTTGCGATGTTCATGTCGGACATCGCTTCAAGAAAACTTTTGTGGAATGGTCGTCAGTTTCATACTGCATCATAGTCTGGTTGATTCATCGAGTGTGTGATGAGATCAATGGCTGTTCACCTGCAGCCGAGATTGTGTCAATGGAATATATTTCGAATGTGTGGTCGTGTCGGGGGTTCTCTGCCCGCAGCAACAGTGGTTCACAAGTTCACCCCCTGAAAAACTTGGCTTTGGGGCACTCATGGTCAATGTCCGAACTGGTGGCCGTAGTATCACAGTAGTGACAAGAGATCTTGTCTATGGTGTTCGGCAGTCGAGTGTTGGCCGCTTGTCAAAGGAGCTCTTCGACATGTTGCTCGGTGAGGCAAATGACCTCTTGCAGCGGCTTGGATTTATGTGTCGGACGACGATTCGGCACAGATGTTGCAGGCCTTGGATGCATTCGACTGTACGTCGCCTGGTCGTCGCGAGATCAGTCCACTTGAGGCGCAGATTAATCTGTTGGAATTTCAATGCATGCCATTGCCCTTATTGCTTACTATTCGTGGCTTGCGTGGAAGAGGAGACTCGACTTAATATTCTCGATGGCTCTACGCCGGCAAGCCCACTGGCAGGACGGCATTGGAGAGAAATAGCAAAGCAGATATAGTGGACGTGACCATGATAGGCAAGTCTGGGTGTGTGGGAAACCACCGTACACATAGTGCGGAATACTCGCTTGCGAATGCCACTTGCAGAAAAGATCAACAGGCTATAGGGAGAAGCGGAGACATCCTGTCCGCTGACCTTGCAGAGCGATGCTGGACACAAGCATTCGCAATCTTCGCCGCCATTGTTGCTATTCCCTGCTGGCGACATTTTACATCGCGAACAATTAGAGTGATTGTTAAAGTCATCGTCGAACCGTCACAATTGTAATTCTTTCTATACTATACCTATACTCATCGCCTAGTTTACCACATCAAAACCGACGAAGTCGGGTCACAACATCTGGCAATCCGAGGGATGGCACCGGCTCAAGCTCGTGGAACGTGAAGCTGACTCCAGCATGCATGCCACTGCCCACGTCGCAGCCGGCGTCAGGCCATTTGAGAGGTTGGCCTCCAGGAGCCAACCAACTGAGGCAATGTGGCATGGACACCGACGATGCACCAGACGCATCAATGTCTTCGACGTCCTTGCCATGCACAACATTGTCCCGGCAGCGGCTATCTCTGCGATACCGACTGAGACTCTTTCCCGTTCCGTTGCTTGAAGTTTCTTTCCGCTGTATCTCTGACCGGTCAAGCAGCTGCTGCTCCATCTTTGGTCCGCCACAAAACGATCAGACTCCCGGTCTGTAGGTTTCTTCGATAGCTCCTTCAGTGCAACGGATTTGCCGGCGTGCGCTGCGCCAAGATGACCTCAACAAGCAGAAACTGATCGACTGCGCTTATGCGCGCAATGATGTTGATGATGTACAAGAACGGCTGGCGGTTGGGTGAGATTTGTGCACACATAGCCATGTACTTCATTGGCAGCGTTCGTGCTCAGCGGAATTTTGCGTAAACGCGTCTACAATCCCTGCCGTGCATTGATGCTACTCACTGTTGGCGGCATATGTTACAGGCTATCTTCGCAGGTCGGAGTAAAAGTAAATTGATGTGCCATTGATTGCTGTGGACATGTTCTGAGAGACGGTGTGACAGCAACATGTTCTTTTCTTTCTGTTCGACCGTTGTGACTACCATTTCTGACAACAAATGCAATGCCAGATAAGTTTCCATCATACGGCTTCTTGCACTGTGCGACATCCTACAATGTATTGTACGAAGATCTCCGATGCATGTCGCACGGACGTTCGTGTGTTCCTGTGAGGACCGCATCCGATCGACACATCTGATGCAGTTGCCGCACGTCCAAATTCAAGCAATGCCTTCCGCGTCACGGAAAAGTGAAACGTACAGTGAGACGTGTTGCAAGGTGGCTCCATTCATTGAGGCTGTTTTCCAGCAGCTTGGTGTGACCGATGAGGCCGGGGCAAGATTCCGCGCCGAAGACCGCAGAAACAGCGAGTGCAAGTGCACCAGGCACAACCGATTATTGGGCCCCTGCCAGATCTGGAGGCTGCGATGTTTAGTCCAGAAATGTCCCCACCTTGCCAATTGCCGGCCCGCTACTGGCCAGGAATGGCTGCCAGCAGTCCTCGAAGTCATGAAGACACGACATCGCTGCAGCCCCAGGGTTTCAATGATAAGAAGCTACTCAAAATGAGGGATGGGCTAAAACAGGTGCTACCCGCAAAGCGGAAGATCGGTCCAAGGGAACTCCGGGCAGACCGAAGGACGAGGCAAGCAGATATTCTCGGCGATCTGTGTTCGCTGGTGATCTTGGTAGGACCTCGACCCATCCTTCGGAGAGACGGCTCGTAGCTCACTGGAACTTGGTGATGGCCCGAATGCTATGGAATCAGCCTTCCAGGAGGACGAGAACGTCGAGAGCTTCACCAGACTGTGATTGCCTAAGCTGTGTCCTGCAGTGACGTACTTTCAGAGCTTGCGCTTTTTCCATACGGTGATCCATTCAGTCCTCCATAAATTTGCCACAATCTATCCATGGCCGTGCTGACCAACCTGCAGGCTTGCGGATGAACTGTTGGCTTTGGCACATGAAGAGGTCAAGGACTGCAGCAAGTGCAGCCGTGTTGTGCCACCCATTCTGTCGAGTGCCACGGCTGGTATATTTTTTTGGATCTAGTCTATTGTGCTGTCAAGGAGCAAGGTCCACGGATCATGGGTTGGCGTCGACCCTGCTTCGGTGAAGCACCTCTCTCACGTTTCCGTGCAAAGCAGGACCTTTCCGTGTGGTGTGGTGTTGTCACCCGAATGTTTCTGCAGATGCCTCATCTCTGGCATTCAGGAGGGCACCAACCCATCACAGCGACAGACCTGGGAGAAGGCAAGCTAACCGTTCTTGCGGGCGCATGAACTGGTTGCCGGCTTCTCATGGCAGGTCAGGGAGAAGTTGACCGAAGCTGTCCGCCGCTTCGGCTATCGAACCGAGGTGCGAAACACTTGTGTTTCTTCTGCCGACGTCTAAGCAGCATGCGCTTCAGACACAAGTTTTCGGCAAAGCCCGATCTCTCGATTGTGCAGGGAGGGGATGAGATTCCTGCAGGCTCCACGCCGAGTTTTGTTGGCTCGCGGGCTATGAGAAACTGGAAAATCTGAGCCAAGGCAGAACAATCGAGGCTGACGGCTCGTCAGGCCGGAAGTGCGGCAGTGCAGATGTCTCGCAGCTACTGCCGGATTGTGATGGATTGTGCAGGTGGAGCCGTCACAATGTCCAACATGGATGAAGGCAGGTGGCGTTGCTGCTGCTTTGCTTTTTGCACGGATGCACTGGTCCTACTTCGCCGTGAAGTGCAGCCAACTCCAAGAAGGAACATTTTACCGAAGGGCCAAGGGCGGAGAAATCTGGGCCTGTGCAGAACGCAGAACCTGGGGTTGGAACATGGAACATCAACCGAACCATTGCGTATCCCGTGGCATCGCGGGTGTGGTCTCTGGCTGGCGTAGACGGAAAAGCGAAGCAGCATCCTGCCACATTCACGATTTGAGCACATGAGGCATCGATGCTCTGCTCGAAGAAGATATTTGCCATGTGCTCGGTGCTAGTGACTGGCAGAGCTTGTGCAGAGCTGCGGAAAAAAGACAACTAAATTGTCTCAGGCAGTGATGAGGCATCCTGGTTAGACATCAAGGGCGACGTGCAGAAGGTCAAAGACCAGGCAGCTTTGCGACACTGAGACGATTTGTGGCAAAAATGGTGCGGGCCGGGTTTCCCTACTAGGTAGCCCAAGTACAGTGCTCCTACACTTTATCTTGAAGGTTGCTGGGATGATTTTCATGGATCTTGTCGACGAGATGGTCACGGAGATTGGCAGCATGTGGTCCGCACTGCGGCCGCAGTTATTGTTGCGAGCCACAGTGATCCGCATTGGACAGCTGCCAGCAGTCGAGCCAGAGGCATAAGAGTGGGCTCGCCACTCCTGCGGACTTCGCCGTGCCTCCGCCCTAGCCCGAATTCGGTGCGACTTTTTACTTTCTCTGCATTGCCAGTGGTTTCGACGACCCTGAACAAGTCATGCTTTGTACAGCCGTCAATCTGGGGCCTGTGGCGAAAGGCGAGCCTTGCTGCCCTGTAAATGCCCTGTACAATTCGTACAATTCAAACGGAGAGAAGCCCACGACAGCCGCTTTCAAGCGGAGATGTTGGGGAGTCCACTCCAATTAGCCTTCTTGCGCTATGCAAGGAGTGGTTTCACATGTGCGTAATTGTGCGTAGTCTTCACGTCCTGAACATACGAATCGCTACCCAATATAGCCAGGGACTTGTTGCTTCAATTCCCAAGTCTGACCAAGATCTCGCAGCAATACTAGCTTGGGCGACGGACAGGCGTTCGCCTCGTCCCTTAGAGATGAACCTCCTTTGCGCCCAGGAGATGACTGCACGCGTCAGACAGTGTAAAACGGGTGTGCCTATGCAGTGCTGTGCAATGCTGCCTTTGCAGGCTTGGCTCCAGACTGCCCTGCTCGCCGTGGCAATTTCTCAAGCTGGGCATGGGACAGGCATGGCACCCGCCACACCAGCCAAGTCCTCAGCAGCGTGAACTCGCTTGCATGGCATTGCATGGTCTCGCGTCTCGCGGAGGTCCAGGAGCCGCCTTTGAACGTGCCGGCCTTGCCGTCGCTGCTGTCTGCGGTCTGCTGCGGTCTGCTGCGGTCTGCCTTTCATGGCCGGCATGCACAGGTTCGTGAGAAGGCTGGGCGCATTGTGGTTGTCTTCAGCGTGCCGAACGTGAGAGCCAACTCGGTGCAGGCAGGGCTCGCAGGGCATGGAGCGTCATCGCTTACAGAAACTCAAGCTGTAGGTTGAAAGCAGAGGCCCCAGCGAAGACGAACCAGCAGGCCTCCTGATCCCCGTTCCTGCCGTGTGGCTTCCGCCAAGCGAATGCTTCGGAGCAGGATCCGTGCACGTCTTCTTCAGCTCCCTGTCTCCAAGTCGGAGTTTCGAGAAGCATCTCGTGTGTGGCCCAGAGTTCTGGAGTTCCACTCTAGTCGGTCCTGTCTTTGCCTTCTTGGGAGATTCTGCCACACGGCATTGAAGAAAAGATCATCAAAGATGTCCGCGCCCCGGAAAATGTCGCGTTGCCTGTCGGGGATACTGTATTATCGCATGAATTGGATTCTTATCTTCTGTTGAAAGTTGCCCTGCTGTGATGCGCAATATCAGGCACTGTCAGCAGGCACCACTCATGGCAAGCCCTCATGCAGTTGCAGGTTCAGAGTAAGTCCCTGACGGTCCAGCTGGCATTGGCCTGAGTTGACGGCAGTGTCGGCTGGTACGTGGTACTTCTCTGTGCGGTCCCTGCGCAGGTCAAGTTGGACACTGCCATAGTTTTCACCTCGGTTCCTGCAAGAAGTCCTCGGTGCATAGCCAGAACAACTAAAACTCTGAGGAATGGGGCCAAGCATGGCTAAAACCAAAGAGTAAAGCAAAAAGGAGCCGCCTGCTTGTACCATTTCGGAGTTTGCTGCATATCTCTTGGTGCCAGGAGGACGTTGCCCGATGCCGACAAAGAAAATAAAGGCCCCCCTTCTCCGGCGAAAGGCCGCAGAGGCGTGTCTTGCTCTGAGGAGGTCCTTCGCCTTTGCCGACTCCAGTGCTCGATCCGAAGGCCGAGCTGATCTTGGCTGATCAAAGCAGAAAGCCGTCTGCATGTTATGCCCCCCAATAAAGTTAGACTCAGTTAGGCCGTTCCACAGCAACGTTGGGGTTGCTTGATAGTGATGTGGTGCAACAGACACGTACCACTTCAGAGTAGAGACTTCCTTTACACATTCACAAGCCAAACAGCCATCAACTGTTTGAAGCAAGCATGTCTTGGTGTTCCTGTGCGGGTGTTTTGTCTTTTTTGCAGAGCTTGCTGTGAGCGGAAAGGCGTCAGGCTGGGGAGCTAAGCCAGAACTTGATTTAGCCAGCATAGAAAAGCCAGACCCTGCCGGAATCAGGTTGTAGCAGGCTTCTGCGTTTCGCCCTTCGTTGAGAGGGTAGCTGGTGCTTGCTTCTGCATGCATTCCCGGGCGAGATGTGGATGCCATGATGCTGCTGATGCTAACCTCCTCGTGCTTCCGCTTCAGCTGGTGTGGGCTTGCAAGCTTCAGCAAGTCACCTTTCTGTTTGTAACAGCAGCACATCAATGAAGAGAAATCGTGTTCATCTGCGGAGGTCTCGAATGAAGAAGTGCTCGAGGGCCCGGAAACTGCGCCTCAGGACGGCATACTGAAGCTCCACTCTTGCAGATCCGGCGGACTGCCTGCAGAGGCAGAGACGGAGGTGGAGACAGCCGTTGCAGCAATGCATGACGATGAGGTCAGGCAGGCAGAGGACACGGAAAACAGCAAGGGCAAGGAGGAAGGCGAGCAAGGCGAGCGAGGCACGAGCAAGGGTGACGAACTGCCGGAATCCGGAGCGAGTCCAGTGGCTGGCGGCGCAGCGGCGACGGAGCAACTCGGATGACGAATGAGGCCAGAATTGTCACACGCTGCCATGCTTGCAGCGTCAATTCGAGGAGAGACCCGAACAGACACAGCGGACCCAATGAGGCGTGTCCGGAAGTGTCCTCTATGCAGACTTTTCCATTGTTGCCGCTTGAGGCGGGAGGCAAAGCGCGGGCTCGCCGAGGCAAGAAAGCCAAATCAAAGGCTGGTGCCGAGCTGGACGCCCCAGAACCTCTTCGCCGAGAGGAAGACGTCAACAAGGCCAGGAGCTGCAGGACAGCCAAATAGAGCCCAGACCTTCGGAGGCACAGGCGACGGACAGAAGAGAGGATCCAAAAGGAAAAAAGCAGGCCTGCTCTGCTTCGACTCTTCGACTGGAGCTGACGTAAGATCTTTCAGGAGCTTGCTGAACCGAAGAGGACCCAGAGTGCTGCAACATGCTGTTCAGCGGTCTTGCCAAGCCTTAAGTGCTCCAGGAGCTGCTCTTCCCCACTCGAAACGAAGCCAGCCAAGGAGTTCAAGGGCGACAAATTGGCAGATCTTGGGCAGCTGTTCGGCAACACGTTGGAATGGCTGAAGAAGCAGCAAACCGGGCTGCTCAAAGACTATCCGATTCAACCTCCATCTGACCCAGAACTCCAACAACTTGTAAGTGCGCAGCTCAGTGGGCACAAAGGATCCACAGTGGGTGAAACCTTCTTCACGTGTTGCAGGCGCTGAGCTATGGACAAACATGCGAACCTTCAGACTGAAAGTGTTCAGACAGATCCATGGCACTAGTTGTCTGGTTGTCTGCACACTGCCTTGTAAACTCACAGGCCTTGCTGTCAAAACGTTGCGCTACCACAGCAGTGTCAACTTTGGATTCTGAATATGTTCCACAGCATCTAGACGAGCACTTTCCCGACTGTTACAGCTTGTGAAGCTGCCTTGACAAATTCTCGGTTTTCCGATCTGCAGCATCATGAAGGCTGATGGAACATGCATATCTGGCACATCTTGCTGCCTCACCTATCTTATCAGTCTTGCATGTCTCGTCTAGTTTTCTTGCCTTTGGTTGTCTCGCTCTGCCTGTACTGGTGATCCATACCGCGCTCCGTTCTGCCCTGCATGCATGGTCTAGGCAGTGCTGGGTATCCGTCCACAGGTTTCATGAGCAGACTCCGGTCTCAGGCTTCGCTGATCGTCTGAGAAAGAGGGAAGTCACGACCCAACCCGAGGCAATGGCACGGCGTTGCTCAAAGATGACCTGAAGAAGGTCCAGTTTATAAGATGATCTGGGATCGGAGATGCTGCGGCCCGGTTGCCGGAAGGCCACTGTGTTTTTGCGACTTGCGGGTCGCAAGGGTTACTTGCCGGCGTACTTGCGCAGCCGGCACGTTTCCAGTCGGTGACACTGTCTTCTGCACAGCTCTTGCGGTCATGAGGCTTCTGGCGCGCAATGCTCAAGAGAGCAAGCAGGACGGGCCCCTCATCGAGAACTTATGCGCCAGTTCCTCGGGAAGTGGTCGAGAAAGTCTAACCGAGCATCAGATACCCTGATACTGTGCAGGCTGTGCTGAGCACTCCCAATGCTAAGAAACAGTTACCAGAGGGAGCCCTGCTTGCTGCTTTTTCTTTCCACTGTGGCGGCTCCTCCTGCATGTCTGCGATTTCCTGGAGGACTTCTCAATGGCTGTGCGCCGCCGCCTCGCTTGCCATGGCTCGCTGGTGACCTCTCCTGACCAAAACGAGGATGCAGCTGGCAGCAGTGCTGAAAGATCAGAAGAACAGGAAGGAGGTGCGTATGTTTTGCGTGGCGCCCGCCACGCAGCCGCCGCAGCTGTTGAAGGTGGAAGTCCACGCGGAGCAGCTGGATGCCATTGCCAAAGACTGGTGATGCACCCAAAGTAGGCCAACAAAAGTGCTTCTACCCATCTGAGATGCAATTGAGGCCGATTGTCAACATCGTCAAGCTTCAGACAGCGAGTTTTCGTCCTGGCTGTTGTAACTTTTCAAGCATCAGCACCTGTGTACAAACGAACTCGCAAGGTGAGATGCCCTCAATCGGCTCCAGAACAAAAGCCACTGCCAAGGTTTTAGTCCCAGTGAAGATGGGCTGCATCAGCTACTCTGTCAACGGGATTCATGTGCAACGGACCATCTGACGAGGCCCAGCAGAGCCAGCGAAGCCAAAGACAGGTCAGGCACTGAGGCCAAACGACAGGAACTGCTCCTCGATTAATGCTTATTTTTTAAAATTCAGAATTTTTGGGAGCCTTAGCCCCCCCCCCCCATCCAGCCCTAGATGCCAGAAGCTTGTTTTTTGCTTTTCGAGCATTACGGAGCCTCGTGTGTTTTAGGGTTTGGAGGTTTGGGATCGTTACACTGTTTCGTGTCCTGAACCTGGATGCTCAAACTTCCCAACCCTAAAATTCACCAAACAGTGCAATGCTCAAAACAATCAAAAAACAACATGAGTGAGCCCTGTGGGTGGGTTTGGTTTGGTTTAGGGTAGATCCTGAGTCTACAGTACAGCGGTTGCAGGGGTTCCGGGCCCAACAGATTCCGAGCTCGTCTCCACCAGACCACACCATGGGAGGGGGGGCGGCGGCTCCTCCGAAAACTGCTACAATGAAGCGAAACGGCAACATGTCTATACGTTTGTTGCCGGCTCTATCGAAAACTATCAAATTTGGTGCTTTGTTGATCACTTTCACAAGTTCTAGTGATTTCAAGAATTTCGCAGTTTTGAAGTTCCCGGCTCCACCAAAGCCTGTTGAATTGCACTGAAGTGAAATATGTGCATTATTGAATAATTTGGATTGCAGGTTCCTTCCACAACCATCAAATGTTGGACATTCCAGCTTTTGTGACAACGTTAATATTTTTAGGCGTTTTCATAATTGGAAGATTTTCAGTTTTTGTAATTTCTATTAGTTAAATTTTGAGTATCTCGGCTCCTCCCAAAACTGTTACAAACCCGCCGGAACGCTTTCATATCATACAGGGAGGTGCCTCTTGCATCCATATATACATACAGACCATATAGACATGTAAACGTATAGACATTAGAAGTATCTGCATACCTACATAGCTACATATCTACATGTCTACATACCTACATGTTCTCATATATATATATAGAGACATACATGTATACTTACTTACTTACTTACTCACTCACTCACTCACTTCCTTACTTACCCATACTCATACTCATATGCATGTTTACCCGCAGTGGCCAGTATGGACAAAAGCTCGCATTAATATCTCTGCACAGTACATCCCACAAACCGATGTGCTGAGTACGTCAGAAGAGTGGGCCCACACGCACGCTCCCTCCCCTCCCCTTCCCTCCCCTGCGCACGAAGCACAGCTGCAAAGCAGTGAGGAAACTCGCACGCTGCATTCGCGTGAGCGCCCGCCCAGTCCGACTTCGAGCAGATCAAGGCCATGGCAAGACCTCGGGTGCCGGTCACGCCGGCTCCGCCCCAGGCAACCCAGGCCAGGCCTGGCCTTTTCTCCTGGATTTTTCTGTCTGAGTCTCGGGACAGGTCGATGTGAGCCGAGGCTCTTGCGGCGGCAAGTGTTGGTCGGCTTTGGCAGATTTGGTGCCGTGCTTGCCAGGGGAGTGGCGTGAAGAGGCCGACGCCTGGAGGTTTTCAGCGCAGGCAGGTGATGTTCAGACATTCAAGTCATACAGGGTTGTGAAGTGCAGATGATTGCACAAGAAGGTTTCGGAGTTGGCGAGCTTGTCTGGGAGTCAGCTTGCCGCTGAGTGACACTCCCTCGTATACAGGTCAGAGAAGATGTCATCACACTAAGGTTACAAGTTGATCCATCGTACATCCGATTGATGGACTCCAACCAGCCACACCGACGGTCTTGCAAGCGGGGGTCATACGATGTATCGTGTAACCGAGCAGCAGGGTCCACCGTCCGGTCTTTTTCGGCTCAGAATCTCGACAGCCGAATCTGCGGGAGTTGGCGAGGTCCACCGTGTTCCTTACCAGAGGCAGCTTGGGTAAGCATGCCCATCCGCAGGTGCATGTCTCGATCGAGGTCCCGATCACGGGCAAGCAAGGCAATGCAGACCAGCATGTGACATTGTGGGTTGATCAAGCCTCTCTCAGCTGCAGGACTCTCGCGACACCTCGTCGGAGCCAGTGCCAGTATGCCTGCATCTCGGCTGTGAAACGAAAGAAACGCTGCCTTCACGAGGGACTCCTGCCGAGGCCTGGCAAGCCCTGATGTCGGATCCGAGGAGCCAAGTTTTGCGAATCGAATTCGGTTTGAGAATCCTGTCGGCTTGGATGCCGTGCTGGTGGTTCCGGCACTTGCTTCCGGAAGAGAGCCATGCAGGGTGGGCAGCGTAATGCAACAGTTTCAGACTTAGAGATAGAGTCTAGGAGCTCGGACGTGCTCGGGTGTCAATCACGTTACTTGGGCCTCACTGCATGCTCAGTGCCAGGAGGCGTCAAGACATCTCGACATGGAGCCCGACCCTGCCGAGAATGCAATCCTGCAGATATTCCTCGGGCTGTGAGATTCCCAGCATCTGGTTCCATCACCTGGTCCCATCGAAGAGACCTTGCAAAGGTGTTGGTGTCCAGCTTCTGATCCGGATGCGACGGTGAGGCTACATGTAGTGCAGGAGAGGACCTCTGGGCAGAAGCAGCTGGAAGGTTAGCCTCTTGCTTGTACAATTTCAAGTTCGAGGCTGAGTATACACAGAATGTGTTGCTGCATGTATGCAAGAGTCTGGTTGCTCTTGCGACATGCTTGCGGTCGCGGTGCAGGTGGTGGTCGTGCCCTCGAAACGGCCCGAGGCAATCCTGAAAACCGACATCCTCACAACAGAATCCTCCGCCTCGTACCGTGCAGGCGCTTGCGGCTGCGACTTCTTTCATTGAAATTGCTTCCAAGGAGTCAGCAGAGGTGATTCGAATGTGAAGCCGATTTGAGAAGGTTTACCAATGGCAGGAGTTTAGCTGGGAACCCGAGCTAGAAGAAAGCGCAGCCTTCCCTTCTGAAGCAGGCGCCGGGGGTCCCCGGCCTTTTCAGCCTTCGCTCCTCTGAATCGGCGCCCCAGAGGCGATGAGAAGTCTTTGCAGGATGCTCTTCAAGCGCTGTGCGGCACCGAGTTCCTTAGAATCAGTCCCTCTGTTTGCAACCAATGCATCTTGCTGCTATGTCATGCAAACGCCAGCCGCGCCAGACTTCCCGAGAACGATGGGATCCGTTGCTCCGCCATTCTTTCCCTTCTGTTATGGGCCACGCTGTAGGCTGCCTAGAGGTTCTGGATTTGTGTGTGCCACACTACCGCTAGGCACCTACCACGTGCCGTGTGGTGCCCCTTCTGCGTGAATTTTCGTGCCAGTCTCACAGCTCAGGTATGCAGACCGATGTGTCGTTGGAGAGCAAAGCTGTCTAATATTGCTGAGCAATCGGCAGGAGGCTCGTTGCTCCCGGCACAGCAAAAGCGCAAAGAGCAGAAGCACTGAAGAGGTGTGGTCCTGGTTGTCAATCTTTGCAGCCTGGTTTCTTGGCCGCTGCCTTTGCAGAGACGCTTTGGACACATTTTGCTGCGGAAGGCGATTCTGTTTCTCTGCAGGCAAAGAACCCCTTGACCTCAATGACGAGGTTTGCGTTTTCGATTCAACGCCGTGATGGACTTGTGTTGTTGCCGTGCTGACTTGTAGATTTGTCCCCCGCGAGGAAGAAGCTATCTGGCTTGCGATTGAGCTGAACCGACACAGCCTCAGCATCTCCTTTCAGCTTCCAGCCGTTCTTGTGTCCGGCGAAGGTTTTGCGGTTGCTGGAGCATCTCCGGGTCTCAAGCTTCGCCGATAGCCTACATGTTACACCCAACATCAGCGTGAGCCGTGCTCTTCCCGTTCAAGGCTCGAAAACGACGAGTGCGGCTGGAAAGCTTTCTGCAGAGCGAAAAAGTCGGGGGCAGTTGCCAGTGATGTGTGAAGACCGACTTCTGACACATCGAGAACCCATGGGCTGAATGCCAGGAGATTGCTGGTACAGACTTCGTTGCCAGAAACCTTGGACGGGGAGAAGATGCAGGTCAGGCAGTCATCGTTTTTCACGACGTCGAGGATCGAGCACAAGAGGGCCCAAACTGCAGGCATTTTGGTCCCGGAAGCAGCAATGCCTGAAGGCCTGCTTGCAAGGGAAGTTGCACATGGGGTAAGAGGGCGTTTTTTGGTCTGACAATACAAGCAGAACTGTGTTTGGTCAGTTCTGCTTTCAGTTGAGGAGAACAGCTCCTATTGCGATTTGCGCAGCACCCTTGACAGGTTGTTGGCCCGAAGAAGCCGAGTCAGGCAAGGAATCATTTGCAATGCTTTGGCTTCGTGTCGATGCGACACGTGGATGTAGAGCTGAGTATGGTTGTGCAAAAGCTCCTGCAAGTGCGAGATTGTGGACAGGGAGAGTCGATGCTCCTTCATGAGTTGCTTGGCCAGAAGGATCGCGAAATGTCGGCATTTCGCTGCGGTGCTTTCTAAGGCTCGATTGAAAGCACCTCACCGAAGCGTGCGCCTCACGAAGCAGGTGCCATAGCCCGTGGCATGTCGCGAAGCAACGCAGCACTTGCCTTTCCGTTCACTTGTACATACTGGTAAGTGACAATAGTTGGCGCTGCTCTCTTTGGTTTACCACCTCTTCCAGCCAGTTGCTGCCAAAGATGGGCTGGTCCCAAATATGTAGGACTTAGGACTTAGGACCTCGGACATGCCGCCAGAGCCAAAGCGCATCCAGCAATGATTCCGCATGCGACTTCAGACTTGTGCAGTCGACCTCAGTGGACCAGAATGCCTTCGAGGCTCAAGCATGCCTTTCCGAGATGTAGGCCTTCGGCAATGCGGGCCTAGGGGCTGGAAGGACCTCGGGCTTTCGTCGTGATTTGGCACGAGCTGGAAACAAGACTTTCACCATGCCATGCTAACAGGCCCAATGGCCGCGCTACCTCAGCTGCGTGGCAGCTGCCATCACGGCATGCGCATTAGCTAGTCTTTCCGCTCCTTGATCGAACTCCGGCAGGGTCGGGCATGTGAGAGCTGGTCGAAGCTTCTTGGCATGAGGTAAGGCGGAGTGAGCCGGAATCGTGGAGCTTCAGGCGATTGCAGGTACAGGCGGGACAGGTGTGCCGTGAAGCGTCGCTTGCGCCTTGCGTCCCAACGCGTCCCATCGAGGAGGATGACAAGGAGGAGCGCTGTAAGCCAGCACGCAAGCCTGAGGAGCCTCGGCCCACGGCTTTCGGCTTTTGCCGCTATTTGCCATTTGGAGCTGGCATTCGGTTCTAGCGCTTTCGGCCCTGCAGATCTACGGCGCTCTCTTCAGTTTACCTCCGGCCAGATCCATAGCGCACAGGGATCGGAAAGTTGAGAACTCCTGGCGCGTTGCCTAGGTGGAAATCAACTTTTGTGGGGAAATCACTATGACCGAGCTCGTGGGCACCAACTCAAAGGTTCACTGTTGTTCTTGTGACTGTGGCCAAGATCTTCGAAATTCAACAAATTCGGTCAGGTCAGCAGCATCTCGTTTCTGGCTCTAACGCAGGCTGCCGAGGCTCGTGCTGATGCCAGCAGACATGGCAGCAGCAAGCCAATACACGCCCTGCGAAGGTTGTTACGCTCGTGGAAGCTGGTGGCCCCATCTACCAGCTCAATGCGCCCAAGCTTTTTGCAAGGTTTGTCTGAATCTGGTTCTTAGCATAACCTTAGCTTCAGTACAGGTTGGGCTCCTTGAAAGCGTATGAATCGAGGAAGTACACGAGCGCAAGCAGATTTGGACTCGATGGCAACGTCCTGTGTGGCTCAGGTACTGTCTGATACAAGCCCCCGTGCAAAGTGGGACATAAACCGCCCTCCAGACACAGCCTCAAGACATCTCAGGATGCAAACACAAGCATAGTTGAAATTTGTTGATATGTTCAGCCTTCAATGCTGCCACAAATCTTGCGAGGTTAGAACCTTCGGAGGTAATTCCTGTTTGGACTTCACCCAGTTCTGTGCACGACTCAGACCTTGCTGTTCAAGATATTCCTTCACAGCATGGACGTCTGGCACATGTTCAGGTGAAGTGGCATCCATAACACCGCTTCTAACTGGATTTGTTGTGGTGGCAGCCCCAGCAATGGACGGCCTGCCAAAAGACATGTGGGTACAACTCAAGGTAGACAGGCATCGTTTGCAAGAGTCGGAGCCTCAGAGAACGAGCTTACACTGTTGCACGGATTCACACTTGGATGAGGCGCAGTCCAATCGCCTTAGCAAGAAAGGGTATTGGCATTGGATTACTGAGCGTGGTAAGCGAGTGTGACAGTGGACTTCATGCCATGGTTTGAAGATAATGAAATCTTGATGGTACCTCGCCGCATATCGTGGCACCGCAGAGGGACTTGAAAGTTCAGAAAAGCGTCCATGCCTGTGCCCGTGAGCAGGTTCAATGTGTCCTGGGGCGAGTCTGGGTCTCAAGAGGTTGTCGTCAGCACCTTGGGGAAGATGAACATGGTGCGATGCCGAGCTCCTTTCAGCACTGTGTTGTCCACATCTCAAGATGTCTCCCTGCAGGAAGCGGTAGAGGGACTTCCCCTCAGAGCCGGCTGCGTCGTTTCCCTGCGATGTCGCACCCGGCATGTCTGATGCTCGTACAAGGTGATACCGAGCTCAGATTCCCAACTTTTCTAGCTGCGTGCGCTCTGGCAACTACTGTGAGCATCTTGTTCATGGCTGGTGCATGCAGGTACGAGCCGTACAACTCAACGCACATCGGCCCGGACTTCCCCATCACTCCCTTGTTTCCTCACGCTCGGAGTCGCTACTTCTTCGTGTCTGATACAGGCTGGGCTGCAGGCTACTTCCATGGTTGAAGTGGCATCTCAGCTCTTGACATGCCCAGTTTCAGGAAATCACCGCGTGATTTTTCTGGATGCCACAAGCCATTCGACCTTAAAGTACGTCGAGTCGTTTGGGGTGATGGGTGAGGTGCGCTGCATCCGAGAGTAGAAGTAGTCGTGTCGACCACAGCGGGAGGCCCGCAGTGATCGGACCGGCTTCAACTTTCCCTCCGGTATCGCTGTCATGGCGCCGACCGGCGGATTGCCCAAAGCTAGCATCCAGAGTGCCCTGCAAAAGCAAAGTCTATGTCATCTTGTTGCCAAGACGAGAGCTTCTTCGGACCCACGATTGCAGCCGTTTTCGCCTTGAGCCCGGATACAGCCCTGATCAATGGGTCCAATAGGACGAAAATAACCTGGGACCTGACTTTGTTCTTCAACGCCATGTGTGGAGGTGGCGGACCGTCGCAACAACCGCATCGTAAAGCTGCGGCTGGCCTACAGGAGACCTCTCCAAGCCTCCCCCCTCCTGTCCCCTCCCCTCCCCTCTCCCCTCTCCCCCTCTTGCTTGAAGTCCATGCAGCGGTGCTGGGCCTTTGCAGGACGGCTCCAAGCCATTCAAGCTACAGGGGAGAGATGCATGGGCCTTAGTTTCGTTATCATGCCCGTAGCATCGTCGTGATGCTGTTGCGGAGGCCCAGTCTTATCTGGGGAGGGGAGTACTTTCGAGACGTGACGGGCGTGTGCAGCCTCAGACTACCATCAAACTGGTTCAGATCAGTTCCTCCTGACGACTTCCTGCCTCAGATGAACTTCAACGAGAGTCTTCTGGATCCTGTTGGCGCCACCCTAAGAGCGAGAGACGGAGGGAGAGGGAACTTGAGAGAGGAAGGGAGAGCGCGAGAGAGAGAAAGAGAGAGAGAGAGGCAGGGAGAGTGAAAGAGCGAGGATTTGCAAGTCCTTTTCGATGCGTGGCCTAAAGATTCGTCGCTTATTCTTTTTGAGGCATCTCAATCTACAGGCATTTCATCTTCGTGTGCGAGGTGTCACAGTTTTGTGATTGTTTGTCACTCTAGCCATAACACGGGACCATCTTGTGAGAGGCCGAGGGCAATGCGATCACAATATTAACAACGAACTACGTGGCGCACGAGGAGCTCATCTATGAAGCCCGCTTAGATGAGTATGCAGATGGTGCTCTTGTTTTCCGAGCCGCTCTGCACAAAGTCCGATGCAAGACTCAAGCCTGCTGAGGTCACAGAGCTTTATCCACCCCCCTCCATCCAGCTCACCGGCAGCTTCTCCACAACGCCCGGCCCTGATGCCATGAGTGTCCGTGAGTCGAGGGAAATCCGCTGGCGGTCATTGGAGAACCGATGCCGTGTACCGTGCCGTTGCCTTCTCTGTGCGAAGCCAAGGGAGCAGGGCTACCTTTGGTTTGCGTGCCCCCAGTGCTGGCGGAGTTCCTGTGCAGACAGAGCAGCGCGAGTTCAGAAGAGTCTAAGAGGTATGTTCGGCGACCTTCGACTAACGGTCTCGGCAGCATCTATCTGCCGGAGCAACTGCCTAAGATTCCAGATCATGTTTTGCAGTTGTAGTCTCCTCTGTTTCACCCAGCCCTGAATATCGTGTGCTCAAGGCCGATCGTAGAGTCGCCTCCAGCCTCCTGGATTGAGGCGGCCTTGACCCCCCATGGTTGCGAAGAATCAAACTGCTCCGCATGCGTAAACCGCAGGAGTTCCGTACGCAGTGCACCAATGCCACCATCTACAACACTGTGATTATGGCAAACTCCACGCGACTAGCTCGGGCTTGGGGCGTCATTGCCTGCATGCAGCCGGTGCCATCAGTGCCGAGTCTCAGCAGAGGCTTTACGACGAGCATGTGCTCTACGTTCTGAATGCAGCGCGCATCAACTGGCGCTTTCCGTACCGGCTTAACGCCCAGTTTGTGTGAGGTTCTGGTGCACGCTGGTGCACTGACTGTCAGTGTCCACTTGGCCAATCTCGGCCAGATTGAGGCCCAACTATCTGAGCAAGGATTCCTTCAATCTCAGTGTGATGCGAGGGCCTCGCAGTGAGAACCATTGCGGTTTCAGTGCGTGGGCTACACGGTTTGGTTCTCCGGTCCTGTGGACCGATCCCGTGGACTGGTGACCTCGTGGTTCTTCGGTCATCTTTCTGGTTTTGTGGCTTCTTGGTTTCTGTTTTTGATCAGAGGTTGTTGTTTCCTCTGTCAGCCGTCTGCAGCAGCTTAGACATTGAAACACTCTAGCTGTAGCGTTCGCCTTGCATACCAATACATCGAACGACGGAAAGCGCTGCCGCCGTGACAATGACAGATGGCAGATGCTTGATCAGAACATGAAAAGAGATATGAAATGTGATGCGTGCTACTTGATAATCCTCCCGAAATCATCCCTGCCGTTTAAAACCTAATTTGAAATTGGGCGGAGGGGTTTCAGGGCTCCAAGCACCCTTAGAGCACAGTAAGAGCAAGAGCAGGAGCAGGCGCAAAAGCGAGAGCAGGAGCAAGAGCAAAAGCAAGAGCAAAGCAAAAGCAAGAGCGGTAGTAAGAGCAAGAGCAGGAGCAAAAGCGGGAGCAACAGCAAGAGCAGGATCAGGCGCAAGAGACGCAGCAGAAGCAGGAGCAAGAGCCAGCGCAGGAGCAAGAGCCGCAGCAGGAGCAAGAGCATGACCCCTCAACAGTGGCAGTGGAGACAAGAAATAGCCATAACCCCTAATAATAAAAATACTTTCGGAGTTGTTATTCGGGGGCCTTTCATAATGGGGGGAAGGGATTACATGCGAGGTACGTGATGTATGATAGATGATAGGCAACACTGTGATATGTGATAGATATATGATAGGTGTGATATCGGGTATATTTGATTTGAATGCTGTATGTTGTACGCAAGGCACATGTCAGCTGATTTGCGGCTTTTTTCTGGTATCTGGTATATGACATATGACATATGATATGCTATGGACAATGTAGGCTTTTGGCGTATTTGTATTTTGTCTTATGCTCGGTTCATCATTCGTGATGCAACATAGCCGGTGTACGTGATGTGAGACTTGGTAAATGGCAAAAGTTATGTGACAGGCGAAACATGACGAATAGATTATGACATGTGCCGTTTGATATTTGACATATGTTACATGGTATATACAGTATATGATGTGTGCCATATGGCATACCACGCATGAGATGTGGTATATGTTCTACAAACTTTGGTAATCAACATCTGACACATGATGTCCGTGCAGGGTGGACATGCATGCAGACGCACATGCATGCGTATGTACATACTTCTGCACATACACTCATCCACTCATTCATGCATACATACATGCGTGCATACATACATGCATGCATGCATGCATGCATGCATGCATGCATGCATACATATTCTTGGATGCAGCAGGTCGTGCTCACATAGCTACGCAGAACACTGTCCGACGCCTGATGTGGGCGCGTGCATTGTGCCCCCTGACTTCAAGTCTATGCCAATCGCGTACGACGGTGCACGCATGGCGGTGATGCAGGGGAAATACATACGTACACACATACGTTTGTACATACGTTTGCAAACATACCTGACACAACTCAACATAACATAACATTACGTGCGTACATACAGGGTCGGACACCATTCGTCAATCCGTCAATCAATCGAATTCGGGGCATGCGTCTGGTAACATCTGTGTGGGTTTGCGGCGCTAAAACGGCAGAGCGATCCGGTCAAACTCTTCATCCACTAACGACTCCACTCTAGCCCCTGCTTTGGTGTGATGTCCTTCGACGTTGTGCATGGTGCTGTCGCCGGACTTGTCCACCAAAATCCTCTAGTGTTGACCACGATGCTCTCGGTGTAGGCTTCAGGTATGAAGTGAATGAGGCTTGGAACAACAAGGACATCAGCATTCTGGCATCAGAGACTTTCGGCTTTCCGAGAGTGAAGCGTGTACAGGCTTTTGATCGGATTTGTTGTTGGCATTTGCTTGAACGGTTCGATTTCAACATTGCGTAGCTCGGCTCTGGTTTTGTTTGTTTTGGTTTTCTGTCCATACTTGGCGCGGAGTTTCGGGTTTCAATAGTTCGATTCGACAGCGGGACCGTTTCGAGAACTGCGATCTAAGCACCCGCGATTCGACACGATTCGACAGGAAGTGAGCGTATATTTTTTCGGTCTCCAGGATTTGAGGGGTTGGGGCTTCAGGGGGGCTTCAGAACTCCATGGTTTTCCACTTTAGGGAGCAGTCGAGTTCAGGGCTTGAGGGCTGCAGGTTTGGGAGTTTCTCCCCTCCCCTCCCTAAACCTAAAACTCGTATTGATATTTTTTTCGACACTGCGCGCTCTGGCCTCTGCGCTCGAACCCCTTAGCTTCACCCGCGCCCCCCCTCCGTCCTACCCCTTCCTTGCCCTCCCTACCTCCGCCCATTATTATCATCGTTCACCTTCTCCTCACTATTTCTAAAAATCCAGACATCGTGTCCTCTGCCTCCTAGACACTGTCATATATAGGTATAGAAACAGATACAGATACAGATATAGATAACGATAGCAAAATACTTATATATACATATACATGTTCTTTCCTTTGCATTTTGCGAGCCTTGTCCTTGCAAATGGGAGGGGAAAGCTTTAGCCTAGAACCCGGCCGTTCTTTTAAGCCGCGGGGTGCATTGGACCTTGTCATGAAGTTGAGCATATCTAGCCGCTGGCTCCTGCCTGTTTGTTGTGCCGCAAAATGTCTCCCGTCGCAGCATGTCGTTGCAGCAGTTGTGTTAGGCCAGCTGTAGTCTACACCGCTGACACCGTTTCTGCAACGTCCGCTGCTAGCTTCCTTGCTGCCATGCCTAGTGTCGTGCCGTCTAGTGGCGGGCCCACTTTGGGTTGTGCTGACGGACCTGCGAGCTGCCCGGCCTCAGTAAGCTTGGGAGGACGGCGGACGCTTCGTGTTTTCTGACTTCATGCTTCTCCGGGGTCCTGTGTTCTTGCAGGAGTATCCATGGAAGTGGCACCAGGTCGGCGAGCCACGTTTCTGGCGCTTTTGCTTAGCCTGTCACCAGGCCGCTTGGCCGAGGCTCGCGATGGTTGTTGCGCATGCTGCCCTTCAGGGCGCAGGACTTTTGCAGATTGTCTCTTTCATTGCGGATGGACGATGGGCGAATCGGCATTGCAAGCCGCGGGGTGACCGCTGCAACTGGCCGTGGCTACAGGTAGGCACCTTCTACTTGACGCAAGCCCCACCTGAGCTAGCCGCTCGTCTTCTCAATTCTTTTCTGTTTAAAATGCTGACAAAGCATGTTCAGATTTACCTCTGCGTTCTTTCTCTCGAATCCTGTCTTCAACACCTCCTCCCACACGATACACTGCTGCCCAGGCCCGCGATGGGCCGTCGAGGCCGCCTCTCAAGTCCCGCTTGAAGCCACGTGCCCGAAACATACCTCCTTGAAGCCGTGCACTGTCGCGTGCTCCTGCCTTGGCCGGCGATGAGCCGTCCAGGCAGCGGGACTCGCCTCAGGCTGCATGCTCCCTAAACGCACACCTGTGAAGCTCGTCACTGTCGCGCGCAACACTCGACAGTGCTTCCTACGGTGCTGCGAACACTTTGGCGCGCCCTGCGCAGGCAGTCCTAGAAGCGCAGTCGCCCTCCAAGAAGCCGAGACCGTGCTTGCGCAATGCGGTGCTCTGGCTTCTCGCACTTTTCCAAGTCTAACCTAAGCAGGGCTGACTGAGGCACATTCCGGCTTGCAGATCGCCGTTCCGCGCCCCAGACACGTGTCTTGGGCAGAACCCCTGGTCACGTGCGAGGCACCTCCGCTGGTGTCTGACCGACGCTGCGCGGGTCCTGCCTTCTCCTTCCGGGCGGGCTGGGCCCGTGGTGTAGCCTCGGTGCAAAAAATGTCAAGGTCGTGCAGAGCTGTAAAGTTCTCGATGCCGCTGCTGCATATGTGCAAACACACACGGCCGAAATGTGCCCTGGATGATGTCACCGCCTCCAAAACGAGGACACGGGCACATGCACCCGGAACTCGACACGTTCCTAACTTTGAATGCGGCCGCCGCGAGCCACTGAAAAAAGACACCAGGGTCTGTCGAGAGAAGCGGTTTGCAAACACTGCCAGTGGCTTTCGGGGGAGGTGCAAGAAACCGACGAAAGGAAGCGGTTAGAAATCCGTGCTTAGCCTTCTTGACGAGTTCTATAGGCACCGCGCCGTCCAGCCGTCCATCCCCCATCCCCGGCCCACCCTCGAGCCGTAACCTGAGACCAAACCTAGAAGACTGCCAGGGCCTTGTAGTCTTGGAGGTTAGCTGGGGCTGGCAGCAGCTACTGTAATTCTTCATAAGCTGCACCCCACAAAAGGCCTTGACGCTACTTGTACTTCCGAGTACTTCCCTGCCAAGCTGATGCAAAAAATTCCTTGTAGTGACGCCCTTAACCCCAGCAAGACTTCCGCTAAATTTTGTGAGACGATGTCGGTTCCTTGGGCAACGCAGTAGTTCCTAGTAATAATAGTAGTACGAAAACGAAAAGTAGTAAAAGTAGTAGTAGTAGTAGTAGTAGCAGTAGTAGTAGTAGTAGTAGTAGTAGCAGCAGCAGCGGAGGAGGAGTAGTAGTAGTAGTAGTAGTCCTAGTCCTAGTCCTAGTCCTAGTCCTAGTCCTAGTCCTAGTCCTAGTCCTAGTCCTAGTCCTAGTCCTAGTCCTAGTCCTAGTCGCAGTCGTAGTCGTAGTCGTAGTCGTAGTCGTAGTCTTAGTAGTCGTCGTCGGTCTTTGAAGCACATTTTACTAATTGTGTGGGGAGCCGGGAATTTTGGAAACCTTCAGTTAGGAATTGTGTGTTTGGGCTTTGGGCGTCAGGTTGAAGGTGGGGGTGTCTTTGGGCTTTGGGCTTCAGGTTGAGGATGGGGGTGTCTGGGCTTGAGGGTTCAGGCTGGTGGGGGCCTTGGAATTCGTGTGAGGGCCTTGGACTTCGTTTGAGGGCCTTGGATTTCCTATGAAAACGTTGCATTTCCATGAGGGCTTTGGAATAAATTTTCAGTACTTCTTTTTGGCTTGGCTTTGGCTTGGCTGGGGGCTGGTGGGTGTGGGGGGGAAAGGGAGGGCTATAGGGTTTACGCTCCCGGGTTTAGGATTCAGCGAAAGCAA